GAACTTCATCGATGTTAGCCATGGTGTTAGTGGGTTCGCCTTCAAAGTCGCTTTCTTCTTCAGATTTGGAATCGATATCGGTTTCTTTTGGAATTGGAATTCCTTCAAAACGTTCAAACTTGCTTTTCTCGCTCTTTTGACTATTGGTTTCGCCTGTTTTCTTGCTATTCTTCTACCCAAATACTGACTTAAGGTCTTTGAAAGGTGATTTACTTAATGAGTTAGTGTCTTCAACGGCCTTGTCTTTGTTTTTTCTAAGAGTGGATTCCGGATCTTCGTATGGAGGAACTAGGTTGTGTTGGATCCTCGGGTCATGTAAAACCTGAAATCAAAACAAGAAACACGCGTAAAAAGAGCAAAAATAAAATAAAAACGAAACTGAACTTCAGTTGTGGACTCACCGAGTAACTTTGATTGCACTTGTCGAGTTCAAGGCTAAAACAGGAAAAAAATTAAACAAAAAATTATAAAAAATAGATAAAATTAAAACTTAACCTAATAACTAAACTACTAAAGCAGTAACTTTGAGCAAGATATATCTCACACAAAGGATAAATAATACAAGAAATTACAATTAATTTTTGAACCATTTCCCGACAACGGTGCCAAAAACTTGATGTGTATAAAAATGCACGGGTTGTAGTCCTACTTTTAAGACAAAATTTAAACACACAAAGATAGTGAACTTGTCTATTAGTGATATAGTTGAATAAGTAGGGTATTGAACTCAAGGAACGGAGATTAAACTAATAACAAGAATTAACTAAGCAAGTAATAAAAGTAAAAAGTTTTCTCTAGTTTTGCAAGACTAGAAACTTTAACACACTAACTAACACACAATTAAATAACTAACAATAAAAACAAGTAAAAATCAACTAAATTTAGTAATAAAAAGGTTTCTGTTTAGGTTCGATTCATTTACTCTTATGGTTGATTTTATGGCAATGCAATGGATTAATTGTTATTGGTTACCGACTAAGGTGATTAGATTCACATACACTATTACCAATCCTTAGAAAATAAATTAATTTAAGTAGTGATCAAGTGATTAAACTAATAAATTCCCTAGTTTATTTATTCAGATTAAATAAGACTTGTAATTAGTTAATAAAATTAATAATTCAATTAACCTCTTGTTGATGGTTTATCACACAAGCTCACACATTAATTTACGCATTCTCTAGTTAACCCTAGTTTCACATTCACTATTCCTAGGCATATAAAAATGTTTTCACATAAATCATATGAGGTAAGCAATTAAGAGATGTTCATGCAGCTTAATTACTTGTCAATTAATAGAAAATAGTTATGGTTAATGCATAAGGTTATTTAACAAGCTTAATTTACCAAGATTCACCAATAAACAATCAATCTAAATATAAATCAATCCATAGGAGCAAACTTATCTACCCTAAACAGAAACTAAAGGAATTAGTTCATAATTACAACAGAGAAAAACTTAAAAACGAATTCTAACAATCCCAACATAGTTCTATTCAAAAATAAAGTAGAAAAGTAAGTTTATGTTGCCTTGAATCCTCTTAGACTTGAAGATTAGGGTTCTCACACGATTTCCAAAGCTCCAGATGCCTTCTTGGTCACAAAGTAATTCCATAAGGATTCCAGTGAAACCCTAAATTCGGGAATGTGGCTTGTATTTATAGTTTTCACAAAACAGGGTCTACTCGTCGAGTAGACAACCGACTCGCCGAGTCCCCTTTGTAGAATCCGTGTACGGCAAGGACTTTACGTATTGCTTCACGAACCTTCATGGGTACTCGTTGAGTAGAGGCTCCTACTCGTTGAGTAGCTTCAGTATTTGGCTCTTTTTCTTCTCTCTTCAGTTCCCGAGCTTTTGATCGCCTCTCCTGCTTCTTTTTGCTTCCAAGCATATCTTTTGGACTGGAAATACAATTTAAACACTATTAAGTACCTTTTATCCATAATTTGCAAATAATTAGCTAATAAATAATAAAAATCTATACTAAAAATATAGCTAAATATGCACATATCAGTACACCTCCAAATCATCTAACCCCACAGGTAGTACTAGAATCGAAGCCTCGCATAATCTCCATCTCAGGGTCTCATAAGCCATCTACTGATCCGCACCCCACCGAAAAGTCACATTTTTCTTGGTCAAGCAGGTCAATAACATAGGAATCTTGGAGAAATCCTGGATAAGTCTCCAATAGTAGCCTGCTAAGCCCAAGAAGCTACGAATCTCTGATACATTCCTCGGCACTTCCCACCGCATCACAGCCTCAACCTTGGCTGGATCAACGGAAATACCCTCCTGATTGATGACATGCCCCAAAAACTGTACTTCCCACAGCCAGAAATCGCACTTGGAGAACTTCACATAAAGTTTCTCCGCCTTCAGGGTCTCTAATACCTCCCTCAAATGTTTCTCGTGCTGCTCCCTGGTCTTAGAGTAGACCAGAATATCATCGATAAAAACAATCACCAACTGATCCAACATCGGCCTACACACTCTGTTCATGAGGTCCATGAACGCACTTGGGAATTGGTGAGCCTGAACGGCATCACCACAAACTCATAGTGCCAATACCGAGTCCTGAAAGTCGTCTTCGGTATATCCTCATCCTGAATCATCAACTGATGATATCCAAACCGAAGGTCAATCTTGGAAAACCAAGTCTCACCCTGAAGTTGATCAAACAAATCATTTTTTCTTATATCTACCAAAATTATGACATGAACAAACTAGACAACCCTGACTTTATTGGTATTAATCTTCTTTTCTGCTACTTTGCTTTCACACACCACATCTAGGTTGCTTCCTTAAATATCAAGCTATGAGAGCCATGTACAATAGATGGCTAGTGATGGACGCTTGTATAAGGATGTCGATGAGAAAGAACAACATTCAAATATTTTTCAAGAGAATGTTCAGCACATAGAGTCATCCAACAGTGTCATGAATAAAGCTTATAAAACATCCCAAAAATACGGTCAAAAAATTTCATTTTTAATCATTAAGAAAACCTTAGTTATCAAACATCATATAAAAATCATAAGTCAGGTATCTCAAAATATCATAAACATATGTTAAATATATCATAGCATAAACATCCTAGGCTAAATAAATGGTGCGTGCACTACAATCATCCTGAGCTCTTCCCCTTGCTACCGGTAGTACCTGAAACCAAAAATAAAAATTGTAAGCACAAAGCTTAGTGACTCTCCCCAAACTACCACATACCATACACATAATCACATAATCAAATAGTAACATAAAATTGGGCATTGCCCACTACATTGGGCCCCGCTCGACATCAGACGAGTTCAGCATCGGTCCCTACCCGGCATCGGACCGAAATTCGGTATACATATAAACATATCAACAATGCATATAACATAAACATATAAACGTTCCTCAGGCCCCGCCCGACATTGGACCACAATCCGAAAACACATAACATAACATATAAGCATTCCTTGGGCTTACCATGCCATCGGACCGAAGTCTGAAACATATAAACAAGCACATGCAAGAATCATGAAGACATCAAGCATACAAACATTCCTTGGGCTTTTCCTCGGCATCGGACCGAAGTCTGAAATCATATAAACCTACTTCAGGCTACCCCGACATCAAACCTAATCCCGGAACATACTAGCATACATATATGGGCTGACATTGGTGCCTTCTACCCGTTCATACAGGAGGGAAATCACCTCAAATGTCAGGTGAAATAGTTGAAATGTCTCTGCTCCTGCAACCGGCTCTACTCACGCCCTATATAGAAACAACCCCTTAGATATCATTCTATACTCAAGACCCCTTCACGGGTTAACCTTGGTCAAAATCAAGGTCAAGGTCATGGTCAACATCTAGTCAAAGTCAAAGTCAACACCATGATTTAACTTAATTCGTCGAGTCATCTCTCTAACTCGCCAAGTTTCCATGCTCAGCAGAATCATGATAAAATGAGTCAACTCATCGAGTCCCTCCTTAGACTCGTTGAGTTCTGCCCTCTACAGAATCGGGGCAAATCGTTCTAACTCGTCGAGTCCCTCTATGGACTCGCCGAGTTCCTTAGTATGTTGCTTCATCTTAATGGATTAATCCCCTAATCTTCATATCTGAGCTTCATACTTCTCATATACACTGAAAATGTCCTTTTAAGGGTAAAGTTTCCAACTTTACCCATTAATAGCCTTACATAATTGGTTTAGTTCAAACCCTAATTCTTTAAGACCTAGATCTTGGTCCAAACACCATCAATACTCTAAACCAAGGCATATAAACTGAGATCTAGACCCTAGACACTACAAGAACACATAAATCTTCCATCTTTCTCTCCATGAATGGCCTTTTGGAGCTTAAAAGGACAAAATGACATCCTAAAGCTTACATGGGGCTTCAATGGCCATACAATTTGCACCTTTATGCCATGAGAGCCCTTCAATTTGCACCTAGATCTGAAGGTATATTCACTTGGGACGTCCATTTCCCAAAGATCATGCTTCTTGGACCAAAAACCCAATAAAATGATAATAAGAAGATCTAAGAAGTTACTAAGCAAGGTTAAGACTTGATTAGCAAAAAATGATGAGAATGAAATAGAGTCTCTGGATCAACTAACTTCTTCTTGAATCCCCAAGCCTCTCCTTCCTTCACAAGCTTCAACACACACAAAACATCACTAAAAAATAGCTCACAAGCTCACAAATGCATAGGGTTTCTAGATTTAGGGTTTCAGACTTGGAGTCTGGAAATGAGGTTAGCATGAAGGGATTAAGATGCTTAAATAGGATGCAAAACCCCAAAATTAGGGTTTCACTCCTGCTAGCCTACTCGTCGAGTTGAGTCTCTCAACTCATTGATTGGACTTTACAACCCGCGTCCAATTTCCATTCCTACTCAAAGAGTTTGGAGCCTCCAACTCGTCGAGTTTCTATACAAAAATGAATAAATCTTTAATTGAATACATACCAGGAACAAGGCGTTACAGCTTACAAACTAGCAGGCAATGAGCTTGCAGACCTTACAAACCAAGAGTTCACAAGCACAAGGAACCCATTCAAGGCACACGAATGTTCCTCATCGACCTCTGCGTTCAGGTACGAAAATGCGACAGCAGTTCCATCATCAATGGACTATAGAAAGACAGGCACAGTAACGCCTGTTAAATACCAAGGCCAATGTGGTAAGTAAAAACTACTACGGGAATTTCAAACTTGAGATGCAGTCTAAGAACTAATTAAGTTATTTTTGTTAACAAGACCATATTTAAACTCGATATCGCATCATATATGTTTCTAGGGTGTTACTGGGCGTCTTCAGTTATGGAAGCTATGGAAGGAATAACCCAACTTATAACATCCCAAGTCTAGGTATACCTTGTAACACTTGATCTTTTGAGTACTTGTCTATTTTAGCCCCTTATTGAGAAAAGGTGGTGAATTAGTACGCGGGGTGTATGTGAGTGTACGTTCAACGTACTCATATGCGTGCTTCTGATGCGGAAGCCACCTAGTACGCTGGGTGTACCAGAGGGTATGCTGGGCGTACTAAGCCTAGAGTGAAAACCCTAATTTAGGGTGAGTCTCCTATATAAACTATATGATGGACTCATTCCTGGCCACCATTCTCAGACAACAAAACCTCTTAAATCCTAAACCTTCATTCATATATATTGTGAGTACATTTGAGAGCCTTTAAGTTATTTTGTATGTTCTTGGAGTGAAGAAGAAGCATTGGAGAAAAAGGAGTGAGAGTCTAAGCCCTTGGATCTGAGCATATCTGAGTTAGGAGCTTCATATAGAGGTATAAAGCTTCAAGCTTTCTCACTCTTTTGATTTATGCATCATAGTAGAGTATTTTAGGGTTTTGTTCCAAAAGTTAGAGACTTTATGAGATATTGATCTCTAGAGACTATGATCAACCCCTTTGAGTGTATTCAGTGGTGTAGTGTCATAAAAATCAAGACTTGGACGTTGGAATCAAGCCATGCATAAGATATGAGCATTTTGAGTTAAGAGAATGAGATTTTTGTGTGTTTGTGACCTTATCAGCCATCCAAAGGCTTAAAGTCACTAACTTTATGGAGTAAGAGCTATTAGGGAGTCCAAATCTATGATATGAACCAAGGTCTTAACTGATTAAGACCAAACGAGTAGAAAGAGTGAAACTGGGACGTACGCTAGGCATAATCCCAGTACGTGCAGCGTAGGGGTAGAGCATCCCTGATGCCTGCATGGCAGCAGAGTACGCCCAGCGTAGAGAGTTGGTACGCGTAGCATACGCACTGACATTGACTTTTGGTTGACTTTTCGGGTTTGGTCAATTTGTGGACCATTAAGGCCATAGAGGGGTAAAATGGTCTTTTACCCTTCTGTGAGTTTGTAAAATGGTTGGTTTAGCTTCATTAAGAGTCGTTATTGGTTAGGGATAATTATCATATTGTGTTAGGCGGAGGCTAGACCGGTGATTCGAGTTCGAGTTATCCGATTCTTACAAGGTGAGTCTTCTCACTATACATACCTAGATTAGTAATCTGAGTGTGTGATTGGAGGGTCTTATGTGCTTATATTGAGTATTTTGATATTCCACATTTGTCTATGTGATTTATGTTGTGTATTATTCTAATCTTACAAAGTTAGGACCGGAGGGTCCATCTAAGTTAGGACCGGAGGGTCCACCCGAGTTGTGGGACTGGAGGGTCCCACTGAGACACATTAACCAGAAGGTCTTATTGATTTATAGCCTCAAGTGGCTAATGAGTTGTGTGTGAGGTATTTTAGGGAATTCACTAAGTTTCATGCTTAATGTGATATGTGTTATGTGTTTCAGGTACTTCTCAAGATCACGGGAAGGCCTCGGTTTGATTGTACACACCCTCAATGGAGATATGTTGTTTGGAGGATCATGGATTTGTGATAAACAATTTTTGAAATATGTGTTCATGAGTGATGCTTGAAATTTTTGAGAAAATGTGACATGTGTTTATTTGTGTTTGAAAATGTCAATTTTGGTTTGAAAATTTACGGTGTTACACAATTGAAAACAGGTAAATTGGTCTCTCTATCTGAACAAGAGCTTGTGGATTGTGACACCAGTGGTCAGGATCATGGATGTGAGGGCGGTCATATGGAAGACACCTTTGATTTCATCCTAAAAAATAAAGGCCTTACTATAGAGAGCAACTACCCGTACAAAGGAGTCGATGGCACCTGCAACAACAACGAGGAATCTAACCATGCTGCAGTGATTACGGGTCATGAAGACGTTCCTGCTAATAGTGAAAGTGCACCTTTGAAAGCTATAGCTAGTCTGCTTATTTCTGTGGCCATTGATGCTAGTGGGTCCGACTTCCTATTCTACTCTAGCGGGGTGTTTACAAGAGAATGTGGTATTGAAATAGACAATGGTGTTACTGCGGTTAGTTATGGAGCGAGTGCTGACGGAACTAAATATTGGCTCGTGAAGAACTCTTGGGGAACAGGTTGGGGTCAAGAGGGGTACATAATGATACAAAGAGATATTGATACGCAAGAAGGCCTTTGTGGCATTGCCATAATGGCTTCCTACTCGACTGCATAATTGTGGAACATCAAGAGTAATTATCGTAAATTAAGTGTATTTATAGTTATGTTATTACAAGGAAACATGTAAATTACAAAATGTATCCCAAAAATTAAATATTTGTAAGGATGCAATTATATATATATATATATATATATATATATATATATATATATATATATATATATATATATATATATGGGCGAGATCGGTTGAACACTCATAGTTTCCCGAGAACCCGAGAACTAAAAGTGGAGCGTAAGATCAAAACTAATTCATTCAGGTCATGATCGTAATCTTATCAATCTCATTTAGTGTTTAATTTTTTGTGTTATTGTAAATATTAATAGAAATGTCTAAAAATTAAATAATAATTCAAAATTTTAGATTTTTTAAAAATAATATTTTTCATTTTTTTTAAAAAGTGCAAATTTTTTTATAGAAAACATGAATTTTTGAAAAAAAAATTGAAAAAAATATGTTTTTTGAAAAAACTGTAGTTTTTTTTTAATTAAAAATCAATAAAATAAAATAAAAACTAGAATATTTAAAAAATACTATAATCTTTTAACCAAAAAACTCAATATTTTTGGTACATTTATGCATATTTTTACAAATGCATATATGCATATTTCATATACTATAATATTTGTAAGAAAATCATAAGAAAACTCATTTTATTTACTAATCTATAAACACAATACAATAAGTACTTTATTCGATACAATATAAAATATAAAAAACAAAAAATTGCTACAAAATTCCAAATCGTTTTCATGTCTTCATGTCAATATTTTCATATTTTCTCGAATTTATCACTTTTCACCTCTTCAATATTCAACACAATTTCTTCCAAAACTACAAGAAAATTAAAAAGAAATTGATTGACGCAAAAAGACTCACAAAATGCATATGTGATATACATGTGAATCACATGTAATTCATATGTGATTTACATGTAAATCACATGTAATTCATATGTGAATCACAAGTGAATTACAATATGAAATATATGAAGCTATTCTATGTTACACGGTTGTAGGGGTGATCATATTTGAAATGTTTCATCCAAAAGATTTTATATTTTTTAATGCCAATACTAATCATGGTTTCATTACTCCATCGTAGTGTACAATTGTTGCATCCTCAATACTTCCTGTTTGGTTCTAGAATGATACCCTAATCCATGAACATGCCATTTTTGCTCCATTCCATTGTTTGATTGTAAAATGTCAGTCAACTTAATAATTTAATAGATGTTGAGTTGTTCATTGATTTCAACGATTTTGCCAGAAACAAGAGAGTTAATATCACTAATATATAGTTTAGTTACTTTTCCTCTCAGTCATCATCATCATCATCATGACACATGTAGATAATATTGATCCACCTTTAAACATGTTCATCACCTGCCATGACAGGAAAGCAAATAAACAGAAAAAAATATCACAACAATCCTAGTTTATTTATGTTCAATGCACAATTAACATTTCAAGAGAGGGAGAGAGAGAGAGAGAGAGATAGCTTAATTACATGTATCATCATAAGTCCATAACTATCATCATAGTTGTTAACTAAATTTTTTTCTTGTAAACAATAGACCTAAAGTTCATATGCTTTTCTAAGTAAGCCTGAAGGTTCCTCATGTACCCCCTTTTGAAGCCTTAGACTCCTAATTTTCCTATTTTTCTGGTGCTGATTCTTTAGATGTGTAGTAAGCATGAATATCATAAGCTATAATCATGCACTTGAAAGTCAAATGTGACATCCTTTAAAGTACCAATTTCAAAATAAACTAGAATAATAGAAATATAAGATAAACATTGAAAATGAAAAACTAAAATAAATAAATGCATCAAAAATAGGGCTAACAATTATCAACACGACCCGCGACACGACACGAAATAAATGGGTTTGGGTTGAGTTTCAACCCGCCAACTTGTTTATTAAACGGGTCATATATGGGTTTCTCAAAAAATAAACGGGTTGACCCGCCAACCCGTTTACCTTTTTAATAAAAAAATTATTTTATTTTTAAATGTATTTATGTATCAAGTATTAATATTTAATAAGTATTATATAATATATACAATTGATTCATAGACCATTTGACACTTTTGACATTTTGACTCGTGGTGGATGACCTAAGGTCATATGTCATAACCTGTAAGGCTAAATCTGTAACCATTTTGCCTGTTTGCCTTAAATAATAATCTCAAAATCAAATTGCGTATGAGCGTATCTCCCTCTTCCAGACTTCCAGTCTCCCACAATCCCAATCTCCCCTCTGTTACTTTGTGACCGAAATCAAGTATCGAAATGGTGTTGGAAAATTAAATTTATTTTTTGGGAGAAAAAATGAGAATTGTGGCTATTACTTTAGCACTTGAATTATCTATGTTTGTATTAATGTTTTGTTTGAACATGTTTCTATGAATGTTTTTAATTTTCATTTGGATGTTTAAGATTTAAACGTCTAAAATTCAGATATGTTTGCATTAACCATCAAGAATTTATTCATGTTTAATTGTCATTTTTATTTATGGAATTTGATCCACAAACCCAAATCTGACCCACGAATCCACCAACTTGTTAACCCGTATAAATAAATGGGTTGGCGGGTGATATATAGGTTTATGTTTCAAACCTGCCAACCCGTGACCTATATATTTAAACGAGTCTGTTTGGGTTGGCATATTTTGACCCGCGACACGCCAACCCGAACACGACATGATTGTTAGGCCTAATCAAAAACTCGGTTATACATCATCGAAGATGTCTTGAAGGGGAATACTATTAGGCTCATTATATGCTACATTGTAATTCAAAAGAGAAAACAAAACAACTCTATAAAAGTGTCTGAAAAAAAATACATTTTTAAGTGTTGAAAATCTTTAATCAGAAGAAAAACAAAGCAACGTGGAAAAAGATTTCAAATTTGTGAACGTGATGCTAGAAAAGAAAGAAAAAACTAAGTGTAGAACTTTGAATTGAAAAAAAAAATCTTGTAAAGAAAGTTTCAAAATTGATGTGTTACGACTTAAAAAGATTTCATGTTTAATCAATCTACGCCAAATTAGATTTAATTTGATGGGTTGACTTCTTTTGACTTGTATTTTTTTGGTTGGTCTACGAGAAAAACATCAACAAGTCTAAATGCAAAATTTAAACTTGCATTGTCTTTGTATGTAATAGAATAAGAAAAATACTAAATTACAAATTCATTCTCTGTCCTTAACTCAAAATATGCAAGTTTTGAAATCGTCAGATGGAAGCAGATTCAAGTGCAAAATTCCAAATAATCCAAAGTCTCTAAATGATTTGACAATACTGAATAGCACCCACAATGAAGGACATCACAAATCAGGGAATGAGAATCTGCGGGCCGCATAGATGTGAGACCGGAGTCAAATCCAAGTGGTGTCGATCAAAACACCAACTTTCCTTGAGAACCCCTTGAAACTTTTTTTTGGTGCTAAGCTACATATGGAAGTAGTGATGAAGTTGCTTTGAGAACTATGTAATTTATTGGCTAGATGGAAGTAGCTATGAAACCACACATGTTATTTTTAAGAAAACTATTAATATTTATGAATTTATAATAAAAAGAAAATAAATTTCGTGTATTTATGTTATGTGTATTTACAATCCTATGATTTGGCCCATGTATGGCCGTTTTATAAATAGTTCCTTTTGTACAATGTAGTTGTTAATATATTATTATTACTCAAAGAAATCATGTTGTTCTTGAGAACAAATTTTTACACCAGTACAAAAATGACCTATGGACACACCATAAAAGTGTGACCATATGCGTATAGTGACATTTTATTTTTTCACTGAAAGTGTGACGGAAGGTGACTCCATGGTATGTGTCTTATCGTCACTTTAAAATGCAGTGTTTATATGATATGAAAAAATGTGGCTTTATTATAAAAGTGTGGCTATTGGTTAGAGAATTTTGTTGCTAAAATCAATCATTTTATTCAATATTGTGACATTAAACCGTCAGTAGACACACTTATTTAGTAATTGTAGTGACTGTATATATATCACCAACTTGCGACATGCATGGTGTTTCATTGTGGCGTTTTACTAATTAGTATTTTCACTTGTTCATTCATTGTTAAGCTTTCATTAACAATATTAACCAATTCATTCGCATTCAAAAATTCATCAATTTTGACAATACCATAGGCAAACCTATCATCAGGTATTTTGTCAAACTGAGCAATAGTATTCTCACAGTCATAAGAAACAACATGAACTTTTTCGCATTCAAATTCAAGAAAAGGTAGTAGTTTCCTATGTTCTTCTTTGCTTATCTCAGATGAATGATGTAAAGCAGTTAACTTCGCATACAAACGTTTAGCAGAGTTACAATAAATGTTTCTTTGTGCTAGTAACAACCTAACTTCTTTATCAAGTTTGTCCCTATCACAATTTACATTTTTCATTTGTAATTCTAGTGTATCTACTCTGCTTCGTTTTATTTCTAATTGTCTTCTTGTCTCAACTAATTGCGAATTTAGATTTTGTGCTTCAGTACTAGCAGAGACAATAACAACATCAAAATAAGCAACAGTATCATCAAATGAAGTTATTTCAGCATCATAAGCAGATAAAGGAATATTAAAAGATTCAAGAATAGCACATACCTTAGTGGTCATTGGAGATTTATCAGTGGACGTGGACACAAAGCATCGTCCAGAAACATTCTTTTCGCAATTATCTTCGTAACTTGCGAACATGGCACCATGAGTTGGGTGCCTCATCTCTTCATCATCAAATCCTGAAGACCAGATCTGATAAGTTCCACTTTCTTCTTCATCAGACTCTCCTTTCGCAACCAAAGACAAGCCTTTCACCTTCGCACGCACCTCCTCAAGCTTCTCTGAGTAATAGGCTCCATCTTTAATTTTGCTCTTCTTCTCCTCTTTCTTTCGCAACATGCAATCAGCTGCGAAGTGATTCGCACCATTGCAGTAATGACAACTAATTCCTATATATCCTTTTAG